CTATGATGTGCACTGACCACCAGGGGCAGATACTTAATGCAGGAGCTGCCCTCTGGTGGTCAATGCACTCCCACAGGGGGAGGGCTGCTCAACCACAAGCCAGGCTGATGACTGGTGAGTGCAGCAGACTGCCTCCACAGCAGCAGCAATAAGGATGTCTGACTGTGGCCTAAGCTGTCAGTTGGACATCCCCCAATGGCTCCAGGACTGAGAAAGGGCACAGGCCAGGCTGAGGAAACCCCCCCCCCAACTCCCCCCCCCCCCCCCCCCCCCGTGCATGAATGTTGTGCACCTGGCGTCTAGTAAGTCATTAAACCTTTTAAATGTTTACCTATAGAGCGGGGAAAGGATCAGGGTGGAAGGACGGAGATATCATCTAGACTTCTCTGAAATCATCTTATTTGTAAGCTTGACTTTGGAAATATGTAACTGTTTTACATCAATATAAAACAAAATTAAATTCTAATTTTTTTAAAGCAGCCTTTGAAATCAAATGCAAAATAAAACAAATGAACCTAACAACGTATCAAAGAAAGGTTACAGCTCAGGAATTAATGCTTCCAATGTCAAGATGCCATCATAATGTTAGTTCTCTCTACCAAAATTTCAGAAATTTTCCTACCCAGGACACCTAACTTATCTTTTGATAAATATTTAATAAATATTTGTTGAGTGTCTACTACAGGATAAGGGTATTTGGATCAAAGATGGTCTACTGAGGGAAATAAATGAACTATGGGTGGGGTATTATGTGTAATGATCTAGATATGTAGCCACATCTAAAAGAAATCCTCAGAAGAGCGTTTGGTTCTAATCTCTCTCTTCTTGAGCTAGGAGAGCATGCATGGGCTCTTGAGTCTTCAGAAGTTACTTAACCTTGTTAAGTCACCTCATCTTTAAAGGACCTTCTAGGAAGAACTAAGATACTGTACTGAGCAATGAGCATGGTTCCTAGGAGGTGCCCAGCTGATCCTTATTTCCCTCCTTTGGCAAATATTCATAATGTTGGATTGAACATGGCTGCAATCATGCATTATCAGGTACTTTCATCTGACAATGAACACTTCCAACAAATTTAAATCAGGGGATTACATAAAAAATGTTTATTTGTCCAGCTATGCATATTTGCAGTCTTACAGGTTGAGCCCACCTGCGGAGAGCCATGTCTCCATTTTGGTTTCTAGATAAGCAGCTCACCTCCTCCCCCTCCATCCTTGGTCTGCACCCAGGGTCACCTGAAAAGCTTAGGTCTATAGACCGGCCCCACACTCTGCAAAATCCCCATCTACCTTCCTTCATCCCAGTAATTGAGTTATTACACTCTCTAGAAATTTATTTTAACCCAAGTCTCAGGCACAATATTAATTACAGCATTACACATAATAGCAAGTGATTGTTAATAATCCAGATATCCCAAGACTGGAAATTAAGTAAACTATGAATCATTCATATAAACAAATATTGTATAGTCATTTGAAGTGTTTTGACATTCTTCATGCTAAAGAAGTTGCATATAAAACATAAATGCAATCTCATAAAACAAAATGCAGACTGGCTAAACTCAACTATTAGTAACTTTTAACCTTAACTGTTTCCTTTGTTTCTTGCTCTTTCCTTCGAACAAGTTTTGCATCATCTGGAACATTATCTTGGAAAAGGTCCTCTACCTGGAACATGTCAATTTCTCTGCAACCAATCCATTCCTTACACATTCCCAAGCAAAGATCCCCAGCTGCCCACTGTCTTAAGTTTTAGTCCTTCCTCCACTGGCTCACAGCAACACCACTTTTGAGGTTCTTGCCCTCCTCTTCCCAAATCTTATAGTTAATCTAAGGAGTCTTCTACCTATAATATATGACTTTAATGGCCCCCAGTTAAAAAAAGACTGAAGGATTTCAAATATCTATGCTGAATGATCCAATACCCTGGTTCCCTACTACCCCACTCCCAGCCCCTCCTGACCACACAGCCTTGGGGCCCCACCCAGCCTTGCCTGTCTCCCTGCTGACAGGGTTTCTGCAGAAGCCATTCAGCTAGACTTCCACTCCCAAGACACATATATTCTCACTGACAGAACCTGATTAACCCCCTCTGTTTTTCTGAGTCCTAAGGCAGGCAAGCTCAGGTTAGTTTTAAAACAAACATAACAAAACCGTAACACACCAGTCTTATCTCTGCCACTATGTGACATCGGACAGTTTTGTCACCTTCTCTGGACTTACTTCCTCATCTTTGAGGTATTACCCCATAAACGTGTGGTAAACATTAACATGAAGTAACATTTGCTCGCCTTTCATTTCCCTCAGGATTTGCTGTGATTCTCCTCTCAAAGTGGAATCCCCTCTAGCATGGCTCCAAAGCACTGAACTCTTAACCGCATTCTTCTGGTTTGCAAATAACTCAATATTCTACCTGACCTTGAGTCATCACTAATAAAGCACAGATAAAGCACTCCTACTGCCTTTGCCCTCTTCATTATGAGGTTCCTTTAGTTCATCAGTTTAGATTTAATTCTCAACCCTAGTAAATGGCGGTAAAGGTGGATACCACGTCAACCTTGGATAATCAGGTTGGAAAGACAATTCTTGCTCATTTGGGGCATGACTGTCACAACGCTACTTCTCTACATCTAATCATCAAAACTTTGAGTTCTCTCAACTCTAAGGACGGTGTGTGGAGCTTTCAAGTGGAGTGTGGAAGCATGGGGCTCTCATAACCAAGGCTGGGACTGAGCAGCTGACCTAAGGTATCCTTGTCAGATGGGAGTCATGTGCCTAACAGTGGTATGAAATGCTTGGTAAGGAGAAAACACCAATATTCCTCTCTTCATTCCTAATCAGGTTATAGATTTGTGTCCTAGTTTCTCCACTACATTGTAAATCCTTTAAGAGTTAAGGCCTTGGGAGTCAACTGTTTAGTCAATATTTCTAATGAAAACAACTGTCGGTTCATAGTAGTAAAAATATGGCACCACAATGCTCCAAACCACCACCAATTCAAATAACTCTACAAATTTAAGCTTCCTAATCATATTATCTAAAAACTTTAGATTATAATTTGGGTTCTTAAAATTCCAATTTATGAAGATACCTATTTCCTTTGGTTCTACATGTTATAAAACTTCAACCCAAATAGGCCATATTGTGTCATATTTTTCACAACCCTCCAAAAACATTAAAAAAAAAAATAGAAACTTAGTTTCTGTGCCATATGAACATAAGGCTGCAGCAGGATATGGCACTTGGGCTGCAGTGTGCCAGCCCTGGTCTAAAGAACTGGGTTATTAGGAGCTTTCAGACCATGCCCTTTTTGTCTGGATTCTCAGTCCTGGAACAAGTTTCAAGGCACAGTGTGCCTTTAAGTAAATATTTGAATGGTTGATAAAAGCAAGCTAAGTATTGTGAAATTGCTGTTTGTACCTGCATTGGCAAATGGTAAAGGAAACACTGCAAAATTTCATGGGCACATGCTACTTTCTATCTGGCCATCTAGCTGTCTGTCTTGGTAGATTTTCTGATCCCAGCGATCAGTCCTATCACCAAGTTAGGTGCTGCTCAAAGGAGCCAGCCTTTGGCATTCAGAAACTTAATGCAAAAGGGAGATTGGGAAAGGAAGAAATAGTCTGATGTTTACATAAGAGGGAAAAATTAAAATTTAGTGCAGTAAGATTGAGCATTCTAGACTTTAAAAAGCAGACAAGTTAGAACGAAATGTTTTATTATCAAAATAGAAACTTTATATAAAAGCATTACAGATCAAAAGCCTATTTACATTTATTGATTCAAGCTCCACGTATGCATCACTGGAAGGACACAGCAACAGGCTGCACATGCAAAGGGAAATGGACAAGACTCAGACCCACCTCTACCAAGTGATTAATGCAAAATAAAAAAAATTTAAAAAATGGGGAGAGGAAGATGGAGGAGACACATGAAATCTGCCCAGAAACTAAACTGGCAGAGATGTCAAGTCAACAACCTGGAAAGTCACCCATCTCCAAAGAGGCACTTCTCATTGCTCTAAAAGTGCTTGCAACTTCAATTCGAACCTCATGGCTAGCTTTCCTTGGTAAAAGCATCTATCTTATGTCTGAAAACAAAAAAAAACAAAAACTGCAAATTGTATGCTAATATTAGTATCAATTTTCCACGCAAAATGATCAAGAATTTGAAATGTCTTACATTTATGAAATGAAAAAAATTTGGCAAGCTACCATTGTACTGAAGGTTATATCATGAATTCAAATCACCCTATTTCATACTAATTTCCTAAGATGTCTTTTCTATAATGACTGCGAATATAGCACTGTCCACAAGTCTTTGGATTGTGACAGGTTGAGCCCGATGTACCATCCCACCTCATGGTGGAAAAAAAAAATCCCAGCGGTGACTACTTGTATAAATAAGCATCACAATGAAATATTCTCATTAGAAGCATCCAAAGTAACATGCCCACCTCACTTTCCAGCAACTACCTCATTCCTCCACATGGTTTTAAGACTTTTGGACCTTGATTCTGTAACAAATATCAACTAGTGTGACAATTATGCCCATTGTTTTTGTGTAAACAAGTTAGAGGGCTGATCTCAAGAGATGTAATTAGTTAACACCACTATCGCGTTTCTAAGTGCTTGGTTTCATAGGTGGATTCCAGGGCTAGTTCAACATCGATTAAATCAAATATGCTTTCATAAAACTGTCATTTTGAAAGAATTCAGAAACTAGAGGGTGAGAGAGACCCACTGTAAACAGTGAGGATGGTGTGAGGGAAGGGGCAGGAAAGCAAAGAAATGGCAGGAGGGCAGAGCACAGCGCGAGACGTGCCTCCGTGATGCTGGGAAACACGTCCGATGAGACTAACTTGATTTGAGTTTCCTACAAAGCAAACTGATCATCAGGATTCTTAACTCAGGTTTCAACCACATGACAACATTAACAAGGAAGAAAGCTTTAACAAGAAAAGCTGATGCGGTGGAAGGCAGGTAGTGGATCTTCCAAATACTATGCTTGCATCTCAAACTCCTGCTTCAGACTGAAAAAAAGAAAAGGAAACATGTCAGGGCATGGTTCTCAAACTAAGAATTCTCTCTTGAAAGCCTAATTCACTCTTTTAGAAATGTTTTTATTGAGTTACAACATACATGCTTTAACATATGTTGTGTACATCTTGAATTTACACACACACACACACACACACACACACACACACACACACACACAAACACAGCTCCACTGCCCAGGTGACAGCAGATATTTTAAACATTCCAAAGACTCTCAATGTACCTACCCCTTTCCGGTCAATACCTGCATCCCCCTAACCCCTGAGTTAACCACTCCTCTGGCGTCTACCATCCTTTTATTCAAGACACAGAAGTGAATGTAAGGTTTGGGTGTGGAAGAGAGAAAAAGCACTCATTACCTTTTCAAGTAAGCGTGCACATTCCCGAAGCCGTGGTATTTGGCCAGGTACACAAGGACCCCCGTTGCACACCGCCCATCTCGCTGGCGACAGAAACTGCAATTGCAGATTCCTCGACAAGGCGGGCAGTGCCAGTTCTGCAGAATTGGGAAAAGGCACAATTAAATCAAATCTACTCCCCTCTTCCCCTTACTTATCTACTCCTATTTAAACCTCTAAGGTTGGTATCATCAATCGCTTTTACATCTTTTCTTTTATTAAAAGAAAAAAATCTTAACATGGTTAATATCCACTAGTCATGCCTAATGTTCCCTTAGGAGTTCCGGCACAGAAAGCCACACGGCAGTCACCAGGGGTGAACAGGAATGGAGTATCAGATTCCCCTGAACAGGCAGGTCCTGGGCCTGGGGAAGGGGCTCACACCCACCCAGTACCAGCACCAGCACCATGAATTCACCTGCCTTCCCCGAAATGAAAGCCCCACAGCAGGAGGCTCAACCCTTTCACCGATGCCATCCCTCTGGCCAATCAGCTGGAGCCTGCCCTTCCAAGTCCCCAGGACCACCCCCACCCCCACCCCCCTGGAACCTACCGGGTCCAGCAGGGCGTCCTTGACCTCTTCGCCATAACGGTTCCGAAGGCAGGGCCCGCAGAACTGGCCCCGAACGCCCCAGCACTCTGGGTTTCTGCAGTTTGTTTTGGTATCGATGGTTTTCTGGCGGCACTGATGGCAAGTAGACCCCTACGAATAAAAAGCAAATTACAACAACAACGATGACGACAACACTGCTTTCTGTAGAGAAGACCAACTTATTTAGAGTGTTCTCCCTTATAGGCAGTCTGGCATTTTGAATCTTATTTCCTATCTTATATACACGTGGATATGCTAGGACATGGAAAGTATCTCAAGCATGGTGATTTCATGCAGCTGGCAGATTCAATATTATCTGCATGTCTTTCCTTCAAGTAAAGGTCTTAACATGCAAAAAAGTTTGCCCAGAACCCTTTTTAATCTTTAGCACACCACCACATCCCCAGGACCCATCTATGTAGGCACACATAATAGACCCACAGGAAATATATGCTGGGTAAACCAATTTCTAAATTAGCACAAAAGATTTAATGCTACTGAAGACTTAAGAGGGCCAGATCCCAAGGATACTACAAAACTCTCTTTCCTCTGATGAAAGAGAGACTCAGGCACACATCCCATATGCTAGGACATTTAGAACATCAGCAAAACTCTAAGGATAGAGGCTATCCTTCCTCTCACAGACGTGGACATTTTCATTCATAAAGTCAACAGGGGCCTTTACCAATGAACGGCTATATATCTTCTCTCGAGAATTGTTGCAGATGTTCTCCAGCTCGTCCTCTGTGATTTCCTCCACCGGGCGAATGACGTGCGGAAGGGTCATGGATCCCGGACGACGGCCTCGGGGCACGTCATCATCCTGCGAACAGCAAGCACAAGCACGGGACAGTGATCTGACCGGCTCTCCCAGACCCGATCTCAGATACCGACTCATCATTCCTTCACAGAGAGTTCAACTTGGGAAATCTTTCTTAAGCCTTATGGAGAGGAGACAGGTCCTAAGTTTAGGAAATGATTCCTAAAACTAAGAAAAGCTGACAAAGAAAACTTGGACTCCTTCACCTGCAAACAAACATCATCAAATATTCCAGACATTCACAGCTCGGAGTCATAAGAGTATCCATATATAGGAGAGAAAACTTAAAAATGTAGTCTGTGTGATAATACCTTTTGACAGACCAAGTTCAAATCTTCCTCAACATAAGTATATCTACACTAGAGAGAAACCTTACACAGGTAGTGTTATGTGTCAAAGCTTTTACCCCATTTGCAAGCCCTCCTGAGCATCAGAAAACACTAAACAGAAACATTATAAACCTAATTTATGTAGCAATGCTTTTATTCCAAGCTCAAGCTTTGGGGGTCATCAAAGAATTCAAGTAGAAAGGAACCTTACACATATAACTGAGATAAAACTTATGTTAAGTGTTCAAGCCTTACTCAATGTCAGAGACTCCATTGTGGAGAGAAAACATAAAAACTCATGAATGTGGAAAAGCCTGTAACCAGGACTCACACCTCACTTGATAACAGAATATTATACAAGTGTGGTCAGGAGTATAGGAAACACAGAATTTATTCTTGTATGATATATTTTTCCATACAAACAACTGTAAACCTACTTTTGCCCACCACTGTAAATTTTTGAGAGAAACCAAACACATGTATGGCAAGGCTTATCCAAAGTTTAAGTCTCCTGGACATAACAGAATTCTTTACTAGGAAGAAACCTTACAAAGGTATTGAGTGTAACCAGCTTTATAAAAAATGTACAACTTTGTGTTCATGACAAAATTCATAGAAGATGGAAACCATACAAATGTCTCAAGACCTTTAACAATGGCTTGGATACACCACAGAATTCCTACAGGACATAGATATTACAAATGTAGTGAAGATGTAAGTTTAATCAATTCTTTCAATGAACAAAAGAAATCCATGTCAGATGTTAAGTTCCAAGAGAACGAAAAGTTAAAATTGCCCTCGCCAGTGTGAGTCAATGGCTAGATCATTAGCCTGCACACCAAAGGGTCTCAGATTCAATTACTGGTCAAGGGCATGTACCTGCATTGCAGGTTCACTCCCTGGCAAGTGTGGGAGGCAACCAATCAATGTGTCTCTCTCACATCAATGTTTCTCTCTCTCCCCCTCCCTCCCTTCCCCCCTCTGAGAAGCAATGGGAAAAAAATATCCTCAGGTGAGGATTAAAATTACATAAAACTCATGAGGATACTGTATATCAATAGAGCAAGAAAATCTGTGGAAAGGTCTAATTATCTTCAGTTTATAAAATGTTATTTGAAGTTTCTTGAAAAGGCTACACTGTTATTGATAACTTCAAAAAAAATCACCAAATAACTTGGTAGGACATTAATAATTCTGAGTGGTTTGAGAAGAACATTTGATGTAAATCTTTTGGTATCGGGCCTACAGAAGATGAAAAACAGAAGAGCGAGCACAGATGTGGAAAACTCACGTTCATGTAGCCGTCCATGGACTTCCTCTTTCTCACCAGCATGTACTTATCATCCTCCTCTTCCTCCTCCTCCTGCTCCGTGGGCAGAGCGCCACGGGACCCAAGGATCCGGGACCGAGACCGGGTGAGAGGCCGTGCTCTCCGATCGGGGTTCCTCCTGGAGGTGACACCAGGGAAGGTGCGCCTCCGGGGTGCCTTCGACTGCTAAACAAGACACAGGACAGAACCCATCTGTTCCAGAACGAAGAGAAGCGGCACCTTCTCCTAGGAGCGTGTGTAAAGGAAGAGCTCCATTTTCTGACCTTTCCATAACACATGGACAATGAGCCAAAAAATAAAACAGCCATAATCATTTTGCTTAGTAATACCAAGTCCAGCTTACCTCCAACTGAGAAAATTTACTTATTCATCTACTTAATCACGATGTAAGAATAAATCCCGTTTTCCAAAGCAACCTTTTCTACATCTTTTTTTTTTAAATATATATTTTTATTGATTTTAGAGAGGAAAGAAGAGGGAGATAGAAACATCAATGAGAAGAGAGAAAGAATCATTGATTGGCTGTCTCCTGCGCACTCAAGCAGGGGATGGAGCCCACAACCTGGGCAAGTCCTCAGAATCTTCTCACATATGTTAGGCCATGACTTGGTTAAGAAAACATTTTTTTTTTTTCCTTCTCAGATTTTAAAAACATCGGTTACTATGTATCTACCATGAAAAGAGAAATGTGCAAATGCTGGGAATACTGGAAAAATACTTTCCTATCTTTAGTCCGTGCCCTTCAGGGGTTTAGTCTAGTTAGAAAGAAGAGAAATAACCAACCAAAAGGGGTTTGAGCACTGCGCAAGCTTGGCACAGGGAGGCCACCCTTCCTGGGACCTAAGAAAGAGTCTAATTCAGAGATGTATGAGAAGGTTGCCTCGCATCCCTTTGTCTATAAAATCCCTCTCACACACATCCACACGGAGCTATGGGAAGGTTTCCTCTCTGTCTGTAAAATCACACAGAATAAGGAGACTGGGCTTTCAAACATCCTAACAAACCTACCTCAGACCTGCCCAAGACACCGCTGAACAGACAAGGAGTCGCACTTACTGATCTGGGGCCCGGGAGGGAATGCCGTCCAGGGAAGGAGCCAGGGAAACTTTCCAATTCCGCCATTAGCTTTGCAAGCTGAAAAGGAAGGGAACGAAGCAGAAATTACTGGCTTAGTGTAACTGCTGAAAATGAGCAAGTTATGGAAATTCCTGTCGTATATCTCAGAGTTCCGGATTTCTCCTACACATTTACCAAGACTAATAGATTTTTAAAAAGGAAAAGTGAGCTCAGGGAAAGAAACACATTTTAAAGCACACACTGTACAAACAACGACTTCATAGCTGCACTGAGAACAGTTCTTGACACAGATAAGCAACAAGTGGCTTGGAGAAAAGCTGGAAGAGTTCATTCTAACACATTCCGAGTGAGATACCTACCATGGCTTTGTTTTGCTTTATATTTAAAGCCCTTTTCTCCAGAAAATTCATGCCGTTTTCATCTTCTGAATCAGAGTTGGGATCGGCCACAGACTTCTCTGCGGCTGCAGGAGCTGCTGCTCTTTTGCTGGCCGCGCCCCGGGTATTTCGGGCCGGAAACTTCATGGCCACCCGGAGAGGCCCGGACCGCCTGCTCTGACTGCGGGTCCTGCAGCCTGCATGGTCTGGCTGTAATCGCTGGTTAATCAGAACAATTGAGTTATCAGTGATTTGTCTGCTGAACCATTGTACCAGCCTCTTAACAAAAGATTCTTGCATCACATCATTTTAACTGTCCACTTTAATTGGCAGCTCTGGCTAACAAAGCCAGGAATTATAAATCCATACAACAATCTGAGTGTAGTGTAGCCTATCTGGGACACGATGTTATACGCCGTTTTCACAGCCCCTAAGCCAGTGGTTCTGGGCCTTTTTTTTTTTTTAATGTGAAAATCCCAACTCTCTTTTTAATTTAAAAATAGATCTTTATGTATTTCAAAAGAATCCCTATAGGAACAAATATGTATTCACCCATAAACATGATTTCAATGCTAATGGCAATATTAAACTATACTGAAGATGGCTTAAGGCTTTAATCTACTTTGTAAAAATTGTGGTAAAATATACTTAACATAAAATTACCCATTTTAACCATTTTTAAGCGTACAGGTCACTGTTATCAAATGCATTCAGATTGGTGTGCAACCATCACCACCATCATCTCCAGAACCTTCTCATCATCTCTGACTGGAGCTCTGTGCCCTTTCAACAGCTCCCATCCCCTCACCTTGCTGCTTCCTGACTCTGAATTGATACTTTAGATACTTCTCTAATCCCCTTACCATAAGGCTAAAATAAGAAAGTCCTTATTCTAACGTAATCTAGGTTTCCATCATTAAATATGTGTTAATGGGGAAATGCACATCAGGATCACAAATTACCACTTCATACCCACACACACTGCCGGTGGGAATGTAAAGGGTGCAGCCACTTTGGAGAACAATCTGTCAGATCCTCTAAAGGTTAAAGAGACTTGCACTACAGCCCAGCAATTACACTCCTAGGTAGATACTCAAAAGTGCTTGTCCACACAAAAGTTTGTACATCAGTGTTCATAGCAGTATTATCCATAATAGCCAAAAGGTACACACAGCCCAAATATCTATCAACTGATGAAGGGATAAAGAAAACGTGGTACGTTCACACAATGGAATGCGACTCAGAAATAAAAAGGTACTAAGTATTGGCTTATGTCACAACCCGGAGGCACTCAAGTGAAACAAGCCAGCCACAAAGGACCATATATTGTACGGTGCCTCTTCTGTGAAAAGCCCAGAATAGGCAAACCCAGAATGCCAGAAAACAGACTGGTGGTTGCCAGCGGTGAGGGTGCTGGGAAAGGATGCAAAGTGACCGTGGATGGGGACCGGGTTTCTTCTGGAGTAATAAAAATATCCTAAGATAGACTGTTGTGATGGTTGAGAAAAAGAAACAAGAAAAATATCCCCCTTCACAACTTGAAAACCCATTTTCAAAATTCAAAAATTTCTAAAAATCCCCACAGCTTCTACTACTCTTCATATACTTTTAGTGTGCACAAATTGAAACCATAAAATGACTGGGGGGGGGGGGGGCACCTTTCATGAGTTCTGAAGACTTTTAATTGATTGGCATTTTATTGATTACAACACTCAGCACCTACAAAGAATTGAAACAATACCCAGAAGCGATTCAGGCTTCAGACTTTGTGTGGGTCACATCCAGATTTTCAGCGCTGCCCTGGCACTAACTCCAACATGCACTGATGGAGACCAGTATTATTTATTACAGGAAATGCTGCACCACCGTGAAGTGATGAGAGCCATGAAAACATTCCCTGGTCAGGCACGCTCACTCGTGTCAGCCTCACTCGAGTGTGGTTCCAGGCAGCCAGGCCACACGGAGCTGCAGAGCATGCACCTGCCTGCAAATCAGCACACGGCTTCCTTCGTCAAGAAAAGTCGTGCTATAAGAAACCACCTGCAGAACTGAACGGTGTGCTCAGGGAGAGTGACACCCAGGTGCAGCAGCAGCAGCGGAGGCGGCGGCTGGAGCAGGAGGAGAGGTTAAAAAGGTAAGGCAGTGTGTGCAGGAAAGGCAGGTCCAAGGAGCAGAAGTGGAAGCAGAAAGGGCCCTAACGGTCATTATCTGCACTCGGGCCCAGCACATGCATTAGCACAGGCTTCCCAAACGCATGCACCTACTACGGGAACATTCACCAAAGGCCTGGTCCATGCCAGGCCCTGGACTGGGCAACTGAACCTAAACGTGAATGTCACTAATCTTGAGGACACACGTGTGCTTCCTCCAATTAGGCCGAATTTCTGTGGCAATGGAAATCTGGAGGTTGGCCAGGTTTATCTTAGCAGTTTCCAAGATTTTCAGAGCCTACAAATCGTTCAGGCTTTACACACAGGACTACTTTATAAACTGCTATAAGGCCTAAAGACTCTCACATGTTAAAACAGTCAACAAATCTCTGGCACGATTCAAATGAAAATTAAAAGAAAAGAAAAAAAAAAAAAAGCTCTTTAAAAGCAAGTACATCACGCCTCAAAATGTACCGTACTTCTTTGATATTGGTGAAATTCTCAAACTCACCATTCCATCTTGTATCTCACTCTCTGAGAAACCGCAAAAGGATTCATCGTCAGAGTCGGCGTGAAAAATACTGGCCAGTTTGTTAGTGACATCTGGCCTTGGCTTCTGTAAAAATCCACAATGGTCTAACACATCTTGCACCTCACTTTCTGAGAAGCCGCAGAAAGATTCATTATCAGAGTCCTCATAAAAAACATTTGCCAGTTCTTCACTGATATCTGACCTGAATTTAGGTTTCTGTAAAATAAATAAATAAATGTGGTTGTGCATCTTTCCCCCCTCTTTCAAGAACCAATTTCCCATAAACCGTGCAGAGAGCAAATCACATTCACAAGTGCACTACAAGAGAATAGCTTTTGTTACAAAGAAAAACGGTTCAGAGGTTTACAAATGATTTCTGAGTTGTTATGGCAAATCATCAAGCATGTTAGGTTAGGCGACATTTCAAAAGGAGAGAATAAGTAGCTAATCTACCTCCAACAATTACTACCTAGAACCACAGCAAAAAGTGAAATGAAATTACAGTGCACACTGTATTTTCATAACCGCTGTATAGAAATGCAGGCAAAAAGCAAGCAGTTTTAATCACGCACAAAGCATTTGGGGCATTTTGAGCTCTGCAGACTCAATTCTGTTTATTCTCAGGCAGCACTTACTGTGTTTGCAAAATTATCAGAAGCAAAGCTGTCACAACTGTCATCAGAGGATGACGAGGTTTCCATGGAAATCAACTTCACATAGCTGAATTTCTTGAAGTTCGTCTTTACTCTGCGATCCTTTTGCTGCAAATGGAAATGGCAGTACCATTAAGTGGGACGCTCACCACAGTGGCTAAACATCTTTTTTTTTTTTTTTTTTTTTAGTTTAGTAGCTTCCAACAGCACAGATATATCCATTTTTTAAACACTGTATAGGAAAAGGGGAATTTGCAATTACTACAAAAATTTTTTTTCAAAACTAACTAAGTCCTAAAAAGGGATCCCCTCTGAAGGGAAACTGTAATATTTATCAACTTAAAAATATATCTATAGAGCTACCTCACTACCCACCTAAAGAGCCCCCAAGCTCTCAGCATTATACTGAGCTCCCAACAAGTTCAATGCCAACCTCCCAAAACCCGCCCTTAAAAAAAAGAAAACTGTCCTTCAAAAGTGCAAAATGGTGGAGTGATTTCTCTCCTTCAGCTAAAATCAAGCTAATCGGGTCTGCTGCTGCAAGCTTAGAGCTAGTATACACTATGACACGAAGTCCCCAAACTACAAAACTGGACAGCACTTCCACTTCAAGATGGCAGGCTTTCCAACAGGCCTTGTTCCCATCAGGGAGTGGACAGCGATTTCAGCACAAGCCCTTACAAATAGGATATATCGACACAATGAACAAATGTTCAAGGAGCCAAGTTAAAGGTCAAACAGAACTCCAAACCCAGGGAGTATACCGATTCCACCCCAGCACTCTACCAGCCTGGCCTGACTTTCAAGCTCTTAACACTTGCTATACGAATCTTTAAGTTTTAAGAAGTCCTTTCAAAAAGCACAAGTTACTTGTAGATATAAAAATGTTTCTTTCATTCATACTAGGTGTACCGGTTAATAATGCGGATTTCTTTTCAATGAATGGAGTTACACATAGGTTGATATTTATGCGACTTGATATGTATGCTATTTTGTTGTATTGACAACAAGCTTCAAAACTTCATGTCAAATTTTCTGAAGGTGTTAACATCATAGATATTTTTACGCTTAAAATTGTCGAATTTCATGCCCCAAAAAAAGCATTTGTGGGAAGTTTTAATTCATTACTTTATTTTAATTCATATACTTCAGGAAGCTTATGGTGAACATGCTCCATCTCAAGATACTTGTGAAAGTTGGCTTAAACGCTTTAAAAGTGATGATTTCAATGTGAAAGACAAATAATATCCAGGTCAACCGAAAAAGTTTGAAGACCAACAATTAAAGCATTATTGGATGAAGATGTGTGTCAAACTCAAAAACAACTTGCAGAAAGATTGAACGTTGCTCAGCAAACAATTTCCAATTGTTTACAAAAAATAGAAAAAATTTTAAAGGAAGGAAAAGGGGTGCCACATCAACTGAATGGAAGACAAATGGAAAATCACAAAGTCATCAGTAAAATGTTGCTTCAATGGCACAAAAGAGTCTTTTTTGCATCAACTTGTGACTGGTGATGAAAAGTGCATTAATTTTGAGAATCCCAAATGCACAAAATCATAGGTTGATCCAGGTCAACCATCAACATCGACAGCAAGGCCAAATCGTTTCAGAAAATCAATGCTTTGTGTTTGGTGGTACAATATTTTGTGTTTTGTGTGGAGTATTATGAGCTTCTAAAACCAGGTGAAACCACTAATAGTGATCACTACCGACAACAAATAATCAATTTGAACCACTCTTTGATCAGAATGTGCTAGAAAACATGGCAAAGTAATTTTGCTTCATGATGACGCACCATCACACACTTCAAAACCAGTTAAGGACACGTTAAAAGATCTTGCCTGGGAAGTATTAACCCACCAGCCATATTCACCAGACCTTACTCCTTCAGATTACCACTTGTTCCGATCCATGGCACATACACTTTCTGAGCAGCACTTCAAAACGTATGAAGAAATGTAAAATTGGGTCTCTGAATTGGCTTGCCTCAAAACAAGAAAAGTTCTATTGGGACGGATCCACAAATTACCTGAAAGATGAGGGAAGTAGCTAGAGATGGACATTACTTCGAATAAAGCACTTTTGATGTTTCTCTTGGAATTATTATATTTTCTTTGGATTACAAAATCCACATTATTAACCGGTTGACAGTTAGCTTGCATTATTAACCGGTCAATAATTAATTGATTTTATAATCAAAGAAAACAGGATAATTTCAAGAGAAGTAGTCTCTTGCAAATAAAATTATTTTCATGATGATGGTACCCAACCATCCTATGCTCCAAAGTAGACTCCATTCAATCATCTTAGGAAGTTTTTATCCTTTTAGAAAGACAAGAGAATATGATAAAAGGTAGAGCTACTACACATTAAAAGGATCGCAGAATCCCTTTTTTCAGACGAGGGCATCCGAGGCTCCGGGGAGATGACATTCATTTTCCAAGATCATAGAGCTGGAAGGAGGACTCGGCCTACAATCTCCTAAAAACAGCAGTATTCTTGCATTACTGCAGGAATTATCATCATTTACTCATCAATCTATCTGCAAGCAAAGGCTCAGGACAGTTTCGAGGAAGACATTCCATTGGAAGCAGTCAGGGAAATGCATGCTGGGCTTTTAACAAGCCAGCACATGCCAAAAGTTGTTACTAGGCAAATGTTTGCAGGAAACGACTAGAAGAAGAAACACGCACAGAGTTATGACTGAGATAAACGTCTTTGGCAACAAACGAATAGCACTTCGTAGGTGTTTTCGGTGCCAGGTACTAAGTATGCTTTCACATTCTATAATTCATTCTTTGCAACTATTCCCACTTAACAAACGGGGAAGCTGAGCTTCAGAGAGGTGAAAGGGATTTATTCAAGGCGAGCGATTGCCTGACTTTGCACAGAGGCACGTCCGATTCCAAGCTCAGCTACACCCATGGCTCTCTTCACCCTGAAAACCAAAGCTTAGATCCAACGATGTCTCTGAGCCCACGTGCCCAGCCCGCTCCCCCCACCCGCCAGCCTCCCCACTTGTGGATATTTATTTTAAGCATGTCACATTCTTCCTTTTCACCCTGCCCCCACCTCCTGCCCTCCCCTCCCCTGGGGCAGACCCCACGTTCCGGTTTCCGTTAAGAGGAAAGAGTTAACTAACGTTCCGCTGGGCCAACATCCTGCAGCGTGAGAGGAAGGCTGGGGGCTGGGAGAAGGAATAGGGAAAGTGTGAGAGGCTGCAAAAAGTTTGGAGCTCCAAGAGTTTCAGTTGTACTTAATCACCGCATGGGACCGTGTGCGCCACCAAAGTGTTTGCAAGACCTTTAAACTGCAAACCCACGGGCCCTGAGCGGCGAGCAGCGGCCCGGGCGGGCGGGGAGCTGGCGAGGGCCGGGGCGCTGCAGGGTCCAGTCACCAGGAGCGCATCCCACCGGCCAGGATCGGGCCCGCGGACACAGAGGGGGGACCCCGCGAACCCCATGGGGAGACTGGCCAGCCCCCGGGCGCTGTCCTGCACGTGCGCCTGGACCCCACGTGGCCTCGGAGCCCCCACCGCGGCCAGCCGTCCTCCTGCAAATCGCGCAAATGACTCAAATCTCGGAACCGCCGCGCACCACTTGCGCACGCCCGGCAGGGACTGCCCCAGACCCCAATCACCCCAACTACACAAAACGGGGGGCTCTCCGGAAGGGGCGCCGCCCGGGACGGCCGCCCGTGGAGCAGCAGCACTCCATCCTTGGGAGTGGGTTGGAGGGGGTCGGCCCGCACCCACCGTGCCCGCCCTGCGGGTTTGCCCACCCAGCCCTCACCAGCACGCGGCGAGCATCCATGGTGGCAGCCGGCCGGGGCCCGGGCCCGCGTTTGGAGAGGAGAGAGCCGAAGGCCGTGCGCCGCGGTCCCAGCGAGCAGCCGCCGGGCGGGCGGGCGGGCGGGCGGCGCTCAGACCCGGGCCCGGAGGGCGGGGCTCGGGCCGGCTTTCCCGCGGCGGAGCGCATGCAGGTCCTGCAAGTTGTGGTGCCGGCCCGCCCGAGAGCCCGGCCCGCTCAGCCCAGAAATAAAAGAGGCTCACCAGATATGATGCACTCAAGTGCATGCCTTGGGAATCCCCTAAAATCCGCCTTGAAAAAGTGGTGTTTTTGTAGGGCTCCAGGACTCCTCTCTTTATGTGGCTGCACGGTCCTGAGCGAACGGCGCGAAAGTGGTTGGTGTTGCTGGAGAGGGGGTGAGGGGTGAGGGTGGGGGTAGCAGGACGATTAGCATGAATTTGGGGCTGGGAGAAGACTGGAAGATGAGGGCTCTGGGGAACCCGCAAGGGTCCTGAGGGTCTCTGCCCTGAGCCCCTGAGCCCTTCCATAGCGGCCTGCAGTTTGCATTATTAAAAAAAATAAAAATCAAAGAACCAAGCACCAACTCCACTCCTTGTTTGCACTTCTTATCTGGTAGCCACGCCATTATCTATTCTAAAGCAACAAAATGTGTTAAATCCGGATCTTTCTTACCAGCAGAGGAAACCAAGTTGTCTTACCTAGGAATTGAGGTTTTTAAATTAGGAAAAGGGCGATGCCAAGACTTTTATTTACTAGAGTGGAGATAGAAGCTAAGCATGGTAGTAACATGGTTAGGAGATCTTTTCACTGGTCACCTAATTAGAATCACCTAAATCAGAACTGCTTTTACTCAAATCTGACACTACAACAAAAACGAAGAGACACATTTTTGTAAAGAGAGAGGGGGAATTGCTTTTTAGAAGAAAAAGCAAAATAATTCGGGTTGTTTTTTAAAAGACCCTAATTATAATCTTACATTTAAAACAAGTGCTTGGAATAAACACTCCATTTCCCCCCTTCAAAACTTTTTTTCTCTCTGGAATAATTCCTTTTAGTAAGAGAGCACGCGTGAACACATGGCGTTCCTCTGCCAATGCAATTAATACAAAACTCTGTGAGCGAGTAAAAATGCACAGGAACAATGGGTTGGAAGAATTGGAAGGAACTTGGTCGCCAGGTCTGCCAACCTTTCTAGAAAACGCCTACCCAGGGCCACAGTGCCACAGGGCAAGGGACAAAGAACTCACTGTCACAAGGTAGGTGCCTGGAGAAATTCCTGCCGTAGCAGGGGGTCCTCAATAAATATTTGTTGAGCAAATAAGCAACTTCGTATATGAACGGGTGAATGAACTAAAATTGTTAGTGTTGTGTCCTAGGCCATGCAATCGTGTGCCACTAAAATTAAATATATGAGAATTTGAAATTGTGACATGCATAAGGTATAGATTAAGCCACTTTGCCTATAAAAGGTTCTGAAAGGAAAATTCTCGTAGCCCTCCGAAGGCACTAGAAAATAATTTGGTTTACATACATTTTAAAGGATCAGATCTCTGACAGTCTTTTTAGTAATCAGGCAAATGCAAATTAAAACAAGGAGATTCAGTTTCACTCAGACTGGAAAAAATTTGAAAGCCTGATAAGACCAGGTGTTGGCTAAGGATATGATGTGAGTAGAGAGCAATTCAAGAGTGATTAGTAAAACCCAACAAAACCACTTGCAGATAAATACCCTAAAACAAAGTTTTTTCACACTGCAGGTTCAACTTAGTTGTTGCACCTAGCATATTTTCTTCTATCTTTGTTTTTGAAATAAAATTAAAAAAATAAGCCCTGGCCAAAGCCGGTTTGGCTCAGCGGGAGAGCATCGGTATGCGGACAGAAAGGTCCCAGGTTCAATTCTGGTCAGGGGCATGTACATTGGTTGCGGGCACATCCCTGATAGGGGGTGTGCAAGAGACAGCTGGCCGATGTTTCTCTCTCATTAACTTTTCTAGTTCTGTATCTCTCTCCCTTCCTCTCTGTTAAAAATCAATAAAATATATATTTTTTAAAATAAATAAGCCCTGGTCAGTTTGCTAAGTGGTTAGAACGTTGGCCTGAAGACCGAAGGATCTCAGCCCTGACCAGAAACCCAGTATGCTGGACCATCGAGAGCAAGGGAAAGGGAGGAAGAGGGGCCAGATGACCTGGGGTCTTCCTGGTCATGCGAAGCATTTTAGATTTTATCCCAGGTAGAATGGGAAGGATTTTGTTGAAGGAAAGATCCAATCTGACTCCATGAGCCGTGTGAACTATATATAAACTGAAGGGGAGCAAAAGTGGGAGCCAGAGAGACTTAGGAACCTGGAGGAGAAAGTGATGGCTTGGACTGGGGTACCTGTGGAAGAAGTTAATGTGGTCAGTTTAAGATATATTATTTTGAAGGTAGACATAATCAGACCAAGGGATGGATGGTTCATTCATAGTAGCACGGTATATCAGTAAAATCCTGCAAACAATCTAAATGCCCCTCAGAAGGGAAATGATACATGAACAGAACTCTATATTCATGCAATGGGACTTGAACACTAACTCAAATGGATGGCATAGCTTACTTGTATCAGTGTAGCTAAATCTCTTTTTTTTTCTTTCAAGTTCTTAGTCTATTAACCCTCATGAAAAAGCTTCACAATCACCACAGATAAAGACACTGAAGAACTTTGACTTCTTTTTACCAGCCCAGCGTTGGCCTTGGCAGTCCCTGACCTCCTTCACTCTGTTCTCGTGTTCCTTTTACTGTTTTCTTGAGGTCCCTTCTCACACAGGCCATGTCATGTGAATTTGTTTGGGTTTATTTTTGTTTGTGTAATCCAAGGAATCCTAAATCCTGCCAAAGCCCATCATCTTGCCACCACCACAATGGGTTCTGAATCCAAATACAAAGATGACATCTTGCACATGTTGACTTGTTTTCCCCAAATTTCTGTCTTCGGTACTGTTGCCTTCCCAGGGTAAGGGATATCAAAGACCACCTATTTCTGCCAAAGTCCTGTGTTGGTCATGAACTTCCTGGTCTGGATAGTTACTGTGCCCTCAGGATGGTAGCCGATCTGGAAGCTGCAGAGGAGGGAAAGAGTATGTTGCTAAATCTTAACAAGGTTGAATGAAAGAGCAAATTGAAAAGGTTTCTGTAAAAGGTATTTCCCTTATGCAAATTTTAAAAACACAAAACATACGTAAGTTGTGAAATTATAAAAATACGGTCAAGCACAATGGAGTAGAGGTAAGCTGAGGAAGGAAAGATGGAGGAAAGAGGGGAGGGTAAGGTTTTAAACTGTATTCGTAATGCTTTTTTAAACAAATAAATGGTACAAAGCAATATGGTAAAGTGGTAAATGAGAGTGGTGGAGTACATGAGTGTTTTTTATATTTTTACTCTCCGTGTTTGGTTTCTTTTATATCTGTAGCATAGTAAAATATAGCTGTTATATTGAAACCTTTTTAAATTCTATTCTGTCATTCAAGATATATACAGGATGTCCTAAAAAAAAAAAAAAGTATACACAGTTTAACAACTGACTCTATTACACGTTGAAGATGAAATGTATTTTAATAAACATTGCCTTTATGATTATTCTAAGTATATATACATTTTTTTCCAAAGTATATATACATTTTGGGACATCCTGTATATTTCTAGGGTTTGAATATACATATAATCTCTTTATAGGATTCTATAAATGGGAATACAAATTGCCTTGCCATTTTAGGTACCTCATAAACGTTTTATGTCACTTTATTAATCATAGGCTAGTAAATATAATCATTTTTAAGGAAAATGAATGGAAGTGCAATGTGCACAGAATGAATAGAAGTGCAATGTGCACAGAGAGATGGGGGCCCAGGATACAGCGATAGCTCATAAGGAATGACATTTCATAGGAACGTACCTGCCAAATACAGGCAGTATTTGATATGAGGGCTCTGAATATAGCAGTACTCGGTAAATACTTACCAATTAGAATGATTGAGATGGAATTTTAAATCCATAAAACACTTTAAAATACCAATCTCCTGTTCAGGAGCTTTGAAATCCTCCAACAGTTATGAATGTTAAAGATTATTGTGTATTCTCCTGTAGTTTTTATTCACCTTGCACAAAAAATTCTGTTCCCTCTTATTCAGTTTGAAGCTTGCCCCTGAGGTTCTGAGCACTCAGCACTTGTATAAAGAGGGGAGCTGAAGTCAAACTTAATTCAAGATAATTACTTTTAGCATAAATAATGAAAAAACTAATAAAATGTATCATTTTTAGATGCCATTTCAATATCCAGGAGATTAAGTCCACACACCCTTCCTTCCCTCAAACAATGTAACATGAGCCCAAGCAGCATTGGAACCTTCAATAGACCATGCACACCCCCAAACAAAGGGCTGGGGAGAGTTTTCACTGTTTATGGATACAGACAGGTTGCAGTCTGTCAGGCCACAAATCTCTGTTTGAAATAACCCCTAATTATGGATTTACCTCCCCAGTGCTGGCTTTCAGGATGCACAAAGGCATGAAACCTAAAAGGCCTAGTGTTACCTAGCCGCTCTGCGGGAGGGCCCAGCCCAGCCCCACCACCCTGGTTCCTGCTAGGGCAAGTGCAGAAACCAGCCTCTCCAAACTACATCGGCATGTGTGCTTCTGACAGTACGTCAACACTCTTTCAAGTAGCTCAGTCTGCGGCATCTGATACTTGGTTAGAGAAAGAAGTATGGAAACAGGAATGCCAATGTGGCCATTTTGAACAAGAAGAAATATTTGTATTTTTTTTTCCTGGATCAGCAATATTCGTCCTCTAAAATAAAGAGCTAATATGCTAATTAGTCCAAACAGCAGAACGACCATCCAGACGACATTCTGGATGACTGACTGGATGACCTTCCTGATGAAGCCGGCGCTGAGAGGGCCAGCTGGGACTGTGAGAGCCGAGCCCCTTGCAGGAATTTCAGGCATCGGGCCTCTAGTTGTGAAATAA